CTCCGCAAAAATATATGTATATATATATATGAAAAATACAAAAATAACTTACTTTTTCCTATATGAGGTTTATGGTGGTTGGTACAACTGGTTTTTGAGTTACTAAAAATGCACGGATGCCTCCTTGACTTTCCGAGTTTACTGCATAAGGTTAGTTTCGTAGATTTAAACTATATAGAAAATTTACCTTCTGCCTTTAGTAACTGAATGCTATTTTCATTTTAAAAGGTATTGTTATATGTTTAATTTTCCTTGATATCCGATTTACAAAGAGGTTAGCTGTAACTCAAGTACCATTCATACAAACTTCCATGATTATTTTATTGAAAGAAAGTTTGGGAAAGGGGAATCAGCGTGAAAATAAACAGGGTGTTTCCTTTGAAAATTTTGAGTAATCATTTATTTTGTGTTTTTGACCAACCTGTATAGTCTATGGTAAAAACTGAAAGAGTACGTGGATTGGAAGGAAATTGGAGATCATGGCATACTTCTGTCGGAAATTTCAGTAGTTTAGCTGTAACAGTTGCGTTGATGCGAATTGTCAAGTTGTATTATTTTCGATCGATTGTTCAATATCTCAGCAATTTAGAAATAAAGCCCTATAGTAGGTTATATCGAATTGCTATCCGAATCTACAATAAAATGTGGGTCTTTCCATTAAAAAAAGTGTATGTTTGGGTTACCACGTAGTTATGTATCACCATGTAGAAATAGAAAAATGAGTAAGGAGCATCCCGTTGGCTACAATTTTCATAATAAACATTTTTAGATACAAATGTGTGATAACAGAGTTATCGACCAAACCATCAATGAAAATAGTTTGACTCCAAGAGAATTCGGGGTTGTATTTATCGTTGAAAAAAAAAAACGCTAAAGTATCATCAAAACGCTGGCATAAAATAAACACATTTTAATGAAACTAATGTTATGGAAACAATGCAACTAATTATAGAAACTTGTGACAGATACGATTCGTAACCTTCAAAATAAGGATGATATCAAGTATCAGACAACTTTTACTGCTATTGTTTGCAATGTAAGAAGGTAAATGATAAAGTGGAAAAATAACAAATACGATATACAAATTATTGTACAACGCATATAGAAATCTTTGAGAGGAATGTCTGACACTTTCATTTGAATGTTGTCGGCCGGGTTTGTCATAGGGAGGATCTGCCGCCGAATATCGTTATCTCCAAAGGTTAGAACTATCGATTCTCAATGTTATGCTGTGGTCAAGAATTGGATGAAACTTGAGCTATATCACTGATTAACGTACTACCAGAAAAAGGACAACCATATACTGTATTCCGGCGTCCAAAAAGGGATCTGAAAGATACTAGTGCCATCTATGAGAGAGCAGCAAAAATGAATTTTAACATATACTTCGAAAAGGTTTAAGAGTGTTTGATATTGCTACTATCTCATTGATGTCGCTAGGAGCTTCAATACTTGTTTTGGAATTGGATATCTTCAAACATTGATTAACGTATTCCACCTGAAGATACCCAATTAAAATGTACATTGGAGAATCCAAAACGGGATTGAAGATCCAAGCAACTCTTTCCAAAATAGATATCTAAATTCATTTTTGTGTTCGGCTTCTGCCTTTTTGGGTTCCCGAATGCATTATAGGGTAGAATACGTTAATAAATGGCTATATCCAATATCCCTTAATATTGGCACACCCTGTACATCAGCATTTTTTCCAGCTGGCTAAGTACCTCAAACTGCGTGTTCCAAAGTGTAAGCATGTTCTAAATCTGTACTTCACACTTCAATGTGGACGCGAATTCCGGCGATTTCGTTCAATTTAAACAGACGTTTATTACTTGATGGCTTCCAGCATTGAACATGTTTTATTTATAGTTTGAAATGTGGTCATACTAGTCGTCGAGACTTTGCAACAACGGTAAATTAACTGACAAAAGTGAAATTTCTGGAATCCCTCAGTCTGAATACATTCTTTATCGCTGTTGAATATTCAATATGCTTTTTATCGTTTTCGACGAGGCGCGTACATACTGAGAGTTTTGGCAGCAGAGCTCGAAGTGTCTCTCTATATTCACGAGTGATCTTTTATTTTTCTTATAAATAAGCCCCGCCCCACGTCTGATATCTCACAACTAACTGACAACATTTACCTAACATACTTTGATACCACATGACACAGAGCTCAAAAATATCAAAACTAAGACGCTATAGTTGTAGTCTCCGTTCTTGGCGGATACGTCATCCACGCCATATGAAATAAGAAAACAGATCGAGTCTCCGTGCCATGGGCGGAACACTGCGCAAACTAATCTTCAGCGCATCTGCTACTCGCTCCAGTACGCATGAAGCATTGTCCAATTTTATATTGAAGATTGATAACAGGACAACGCGACCTGCACGCCAATGTCAAGTAAGTTGTCACTCTGACAAATATGATTGAAGGGCACTCATACGTAACTACAAAGTCTTCGAGACGGAGACACACAACTAAAAAACGTATGTCTTTGGGCTTATCGAACAAACGTTCACATTCAGGGGTAGGTTGCATGTGTATGTACGAGGGAGATAGAGATATATAAAGGGATACTGCTAGTCTCACTTTGACCCTCCAACAATGGTGACTACAACTTTAGCTGTCTCTGTTCTATCACACTATACAGAGTGTTACAATTGTATTTATTCATGTATATAATTCATAATATATTCATTATCATCCCGAATGTCGGTTTGCTATCTTGCCATGTTCAAAAAATTGGTAGGCGGGACCTTTTTAAAAAGGACTGTTTGTAAATCTATTCTTTTACCTTTTCTCAGTATCACTAGGGTTTAAGTAAAAATAAATTGCTGCATGAAACGGAGTGGTACAAACTTCACTTAACAACTGCCTCTGACATTTGTCATTTTAAGGTTGTCAATTAAAATATCATGTCAAAAACGATGAATATAATATAAAAAAGAAGTATGAAGTTAGTCAAACCAAAAATACTGTTCTTTAATAGAATTTAAGAAATATTTCAAAAAGGAAGACTTCACGAAATAAGGATTAAAAAACACCCCCATTCTATGGAAGATGTTCAAAATCATACCTTGCTATAATAGTCATTTTTAAATGAGAATCAAGTTATTTTTCGACATGTGCATGTAAAGTTAATAGGTGTACATAAGCTTCAAGCCCAGCAAACAGTAGCATACCAACACCATATATAATAAACTCGGTTTTCTATCTTGGTTATTTTAATCCTGCGAGAATGGACCCCAGAGGAAATTATGTAAGCTAGTAGTAACTGGTGGCTCAAAGATCTTTCGCAGTACCATTATCGGTTTCAATAGAAAATAATGAACTAAGAGCCCATATTCCTGTATGTCAACGTTTCTGAGCATAATGTAACACCTGAAACTCATACCGCGTTTTTCATTCTGATAATCCTCCATGATTGTCTGGCCGCTAAATGAAACCACATATGCTTGAAATGCTGTTTACTGATGACATTTAGGCCGCCACCACGGTGGTACAATTGTCATTTGTACTTGAAAAACGCCGGGGTGATCAACTTGATTTCATCATCATTTCACAAAATACTGCTTATAATTGGACTAAAGATGCCTTGGGAACTCAAAATTCCAGACTTGGATTCAGTTTATTTTGTTGCATTTTATACTATGAACCTATTATTTCGTAGAAAAAAGACATGGTATAGTTTTATTTGTAGCATATGGTATCAATGCAATTTTGTACGGTCTGGCGAACACATCGCAGTGCTGTGCATAGGAGTCAAGAACCTATAGATGATACGATATAATTAAATCTAGTTTAAACATTCATATAGCCTCTTAATCATTTTCACAAATGATTGCTCAACACAAATCAACAGGTTGTTATATTTCATAGCAACAACAAAATAAATTTTCCATACAGTAATAATGCTGATATTTATCTTTCATCTTCAAATATCATTCAGCGTTCTTTATTTTGGGTCATTAACATAGCAATGTCCCCGTGAGACTGCGCGATGACATCTTGTTTCCGTGACTGAAGTTAATTACGTCATTTTTCGCAACATAAGGAAACGCTGGTTGGTTAAATAAATTCAACGACCTGTGTCGTTCGTAGCGTTCTCACATATAAAATTCACGTAGTCTGGGAAGCTATGTTCGCATATACTCCTAGTTAGAAACTGGAAAATCGTACGCTACTCATGAGGTGGATGAATAATGAAAACCGGTGAGTCATCCTTTGGCGGGAAAATCTATGAATCATGATTACTAGTAATATAGCTTTACAACATTGAGTCTATGGTTCAGATTAAAATACAGCAAATGTATTCACTTCAAAACTTAATTATGACCTCCTCTTGCCTATGTCTAAGTGTATATAAATTTTCATTTAAGACAAATTATTTTTGCTGGGATTTTGTTTGTCATTGTCAATTCCCAAATTTTTTACTGTTTCACTGACTTGGAGAGTAGCACCATCTAAATATTACAGTTGTTTTTGACATTATTTCTGAAAGGTTTAGGCGAAAAAATATTTTGAGGGATTTAATTGCATATTCATTCATTGATTTTAGGTTTTCAATGATTTCATTTTGTGAGATTAGAGTGTTGCTACTATGGAAGTGGTTATGTATTTGAGTCATCAGAAATAAATTTAATGGTAAAAAGTTTAACCAATATGTGTAAATCGGACAACATAATGGTCCGAGTACGGAGCCTTGGGGTACTCTAGATGGAATGGCACACTTAGGCGATACATTGATCAATAGTACCTCTTTGAGAGGAATTCACTAAAAAACTACATGTCATATGAATAGAAAAATCGGAAAAAACAATAAAACTTACATCTAGCAATTATGTCACGATGATTTAGAGCACCGAATGCCTTAGTAAAATCAAGAAGTGCTGGTGTTATTATCATGTGCGGATCCCACGTTCTAACAATATTGTTTGTCAGGTCCAACAGTGCACCTGGAGTATTGAAGTCCTTTCCTACATTGAACTGATGGTAAGATTTAAGATTCCTATACGTATTCATTTATTTGAGTGTACACTGCTTTCTTCAGTAATTTAGATAGTTTAGGTAGGAAACTAATCGGGCCAAATCAGCATATGGTATGTCACGGGATTACTTTCATATATTCATCTGTCTCACACATACATATATGTAATCGATCGTACTTTTTCAATGTGAACTAACTGCGATTTTCTCGCCAACGTATGCGTCTTTCACATGTATGCTTGTTGCTGTCAGTGTGACAAGTTATTTGTCATGGGCGATGTGTTTATCCATGCTGATCTTCGATATAAAACAACTACGTACTAACGTAGGGCCTGAAGATACAACTACAATATCAACAGTCTATATTTTCAGACAGTGGGTAAGAATAACAGTTCTCTACCACCCAATTAATGTGGGGACGCAAGAGCAACTGCATTCCACAATCTCCCTTAGAAAAATGAAGCTACGCACATGGTACCATCAGTTAACGTATTTACTTATTTCGTGTGGCATTGTAACGTAACAGCCTAAAACCGTGAAAAGAACTATAGTTTTGTAGCCTCTGCCACCCAAGCTGTCAATCCATTAATTTATATTTAGTGGCGAAACAGAGTGTTACGCCCTATTTTTTTGACTAACCTCTTTGTGAACGAGAAATATTTAGTGGCATCAGTAATCTGGGTATGTAATTCGATCTAATGCAAGGACAACATATGTAGATACCTACGACTTGACTACGATAGCATCCGCATTTTGCGCTATGGAAAATACCTTCAGACTTGGTGCATTATTCATTTGCAAGTTACCGTATCAGCATAATGTTTTCAGTTGCATCGCTTATCGTGGTTAGATTAAATTATCGCAGATTATTATACGAGGATGTATTGTATATTAATGAAGCATTCTAGAATTACACCCTTTTCTTCGACAACTTCTTGTATGTTTGCAATGGTTCATATGTACAATCATAATCTACATTACTACAATGGCATATTATTAGATAGACAATACATTCGTCAATTGACGGACTGTTGTACCAATGCGTAAGTTCAAAAATGCAACATGAGAGTTTTATATGCTTAAAAATTTATATATTTTATTCAAAATTCGTCGACACAGGATATCAAAAGTACACTCAGTTCAAAATCTGTAGAACAGGACTAGACTGTCAGATTTTTGCTATGGTTTATGTCAAAAACTTACGTCAACTATAGTCTGATACTAAAACGGAAGATGCAGCACGTCTTTGAATACGGTGGGATCCGAGCTCACCGACTTTAACGATACAAAGGCGCTAGCATTAGCGTACTATGTGTTACGCTACTTTCTTCCGTTTTAGTACCCCACATATCCTACGCCCAGCCTTTACAGAGAGAAAAAACTTTGGAAAGTTGTAACTCAGAACGCTTAGTAAGTTCTTCTCAGGATCATTCGTATTTATAGAATACTTTTGCATGACAACAATTTATTCGCTTGAACATTCGTTATTAACACAACAATATCCCTACGATACCGGATGTTTCAAATTCGACTCTCATTATCGTGATCTCGGTACGGTAAGAGTTAAGAAGTCGGTTAAATTGGGGCAAGGTTGCGCATCTAGGTAACTAAGAAAGTTTCGCAATTACGAGTATTTCCGGAGACAGATGAAAAAACGAGCTTTAACTATGAACAAAATTTATCGGAAGCTAGAAACTTGGGAATTAAGCAACATCATTTGCTAGGGATCTACTATGAAAGATTCGTCAAATTTGACTATAATCGACGCAATGGGTTGCTGGGATCAAGTTGATAAAAGATCCACATACAAACCGATAGGCAAATATGCAAAACTCATGGTTATAATAAGACAAAGATTCAAGTTGACTTTGATGCTTTTTTTCACAACAGTAGTAATTTTTACCCATCCTGGTAGCAACAAGGATTAATCACCAGTTCAGTGTCATTACCAGGTAATATATAGAAATTGTCAGATGAAGGACAAAAGGCCACGACTGCATTAAATATTTCAATGGAATATTTTGAAATCTTATTACTGGTGAATAAAGAATATGAACGTGACTTATGCTTACGAGTCATTCCTTTTTCTAGATTTATTATTATGCGCCAGAGATTTTCTATTCAGATTGAGAGCGTGGTACGATAATACACCCGGAAACTACAGAAGTATACGGTGTTTAGTTAATGTAATCAGCTATTTTATATCAGTACTTAGAATTATAACTGTACCTATTACAAAATGCTCTATTGCATTATCATGTCGACTAACAAATGGGACATTCGTACATTCGACATTAACCTTTTTTTACTTGGCCAGTCTATAATTTCATGATGACTGGAAAAATTGCAACGAGACTTAGATGTTTTCGATACGCGTCACTGCTTTTGCTATCTGGGTTCACCGGCGGGCGTGCCGGTCTTCACAACTGTCCAGCCATTACTGCCGACGTGCCGCGTCTGACAGATCGTGTGGCGGTGCTGTCAGGAACAGTGTTTTCGGTAGGTTTGTGTGAGCTTTTTCGGTAGACATCACACAAGAAGCAGTTTAGCAGTGTCAGTTTATTTTTGCAGTTACAGAAGACACCTTTCGTCCTGCCATTATTTGCTTGCTGAAAATAGATTTTTCATTTCCCAAAATACCTCGCAGAAGACTGGTGGACGCCTATTCGTTATTTCACGCCTGAATACAGCCCCAATGTTGTCAGCATATCTGATTATGTATATTTAATAAAAATTACATTGCCTTGATAGTCGGAATTTTTACATCACCAGGGCGTCGTTGACGACCTCTTCTCAGCAGTTCAGGTGACAAATTCCTCGCGTGGATGTTCACCCGGCAAAGGCTAACTCACATTATACACATAAAAATATTCTTAAGGACAAATATTCAGGGAAATATATGTGTCAAATATGCGTAACAGGCCTAAAGTTAGAATTTTATAGACTGCTGCAAAAAATGCGACACCGTCTTCCACCCCCATCCCCCATTTGTTTACTCCTAAAAGATCAGGAGCCTCTGAAAGACATTTGTTTCGCTTTTTTGCTGGCTTTGCTATGGTTTTCCGTGATGCAGATGTCATTAAAAAAACATGACATACAATTTTCGATTTTATTTTTACAATACTTCCTCACTAGTGGCGTGGGAAGTAAAAAACTAATAAGTGCAGAAGAGACAGGGCAGGAAAGAATTTTTCATTTTACTGTATACTAAGAATGGACTGGTCATTTAGCTATATATATATATATATATATATATATATATATATATATATGTACGTATTTAATGAGATATAAGAACAGGATATCCTTTTGAGATTGATATCCTGAATGCTATAAAATTTTCCGTCGGCATTCAATCTATAAATGTACATTTATTTGAGAGATCGTTTTTTTGAACCTTGTTCATCGTCAAAATATGAATTCTTTACAATGTATAATCCGCCTTTTGAATTCAATACGTCGTCTGCATTGTGATTTTATCCATGCACAGACGTCACCTTCGTAACTATTTACCAGATAAGAAAACAATAAAGTATTTGTGAAACCGTTCAGGATTTTGTTATTCTGATCACACGATGATATACAGGATGTTGCGTTCACGAGTACCGCACACGTGGATCGTATTTCATGAAAATACTATAAACCATTCCAAGATCCGTGGCTGAAGGTGGTACAAATAGACTAGAATTCTCCGTTCATGGATGTATATGAAAATGCACAATCGAGGTTTTCCATTTGAGCTGGCTAAATTCATAATTTTCGTCTATTAGTAACTTTTAATACTTTGGTTGGAATGTCATTTGTAATTGGTCACCAAAAAGTACTAAGGATTGAAGCACCTTTTTCCAAGATATTGCTTTGTTTCTAATAAGCAATCACTGTTAGGAGTTTCTCTCATTCGAACTAAAAACACGCAGTTTATACAGGTATTTCCTGTTAAGCATATGCATTAGAAAAGACACTGCAATTTTGATCTTAATGTAACGATTACACGTGGGCCATAAATTCTGGGAAATATTTTTAAAATGCACACAACACAGCACTTAAAACATTAACTGCTCATTGTACATCCTACGCGAGGCAGTATTGTAATCGCTAAAAGATTCGAAAATATATTGTATTTTTTTTGTTGTTATATGCCATGTACATCACCAAAAACTGTCTCTTATTTTTGTCGGTCTGTAGGTCTATGTCTCTGTCAGTCTGTCTGTCCGCTGATCCTTGGCCCCTCTATATCTTTAGAAGTACCGCTCGGATTTTGATCAAATTTTCTCACAAGGTTGCTACTTTGCCAATGATAAAACACTTTTGTAGTTTTTGAAAATCGGCCAAGTGGCCGCGGAGAAAAAAGCCAAAAACAAAAAAAACATTCGTTTTTTGATGTTTACCAGAAAAAAATGTAGCAGTTGAAATTCGAGGGTGGGGAAGGGTATATGTAAATTTTCTGATCTTAGTATATTTATACGCTCCCAAAAACGGTAATTCTAAGCACCTATTAGACATATTTCACACACACATCATATATTTCCCCGTTAATTTGCCTTTAAATCTTGGAATGATAGAGAACTGTTTTCGGTCTGACTACGAATGCTATCCAATCTCGCAGCCCGGCGAACCTGTCCGAGTGTCTAATATAACCGTACTGCAGGGCAAAAATATACACTTACACGGATCACGCGGATGTAGAAAGGGACAAAGTTTCCACATGGACAGTAACTACCGGTAGGGTATTGAAATAATGTCTACGGACTAATTGTATGGACCTGTTTGACTGACTTGATGTGTTCAATTTCTCTGTTGTATATGTTCGTAACTGACTTTTTTTTCAGACACTTGACGCCATTTTGTATAGATTGACACCGAGTCATAAGCAGTAAAAATGTGGGTAAACAAAAATTTCAGTGCTTGAACACATTGCTGGCACTAGTAAACTGAGACCAACTCTTCGTGGATATTTTAGTTGATCGAACACAAAAAAATATTCTTTGGAGTTACATATAACTCCCTGAAAATTTCCATACTCAAATAAGGGTAGCTAGTTTGACTAATGTTACAAAATAAACAATTGGCTCGTCAGTATGTCCCGTACAGTCATGGACGAAAGCTCTAGGTTCTTCGCAAATCTGACATGGGTTCCATTCGGAAAAAAATTTACTCTCGTATCAGTAAGTGACTTTTTGAGTTTTTTTTATGTTCTCAGTTTAAACTATGGATTTTTTCTCAGATAAATCAACTAGATTGAGAGAACAAAGGAACACTGGATTGGATTTGGATCCAACAGTCTATCCTGAAAGTAGGTTGGCTGTAGACTAATTGGTTAGATCGGCCCCACTGAATGGAAGATATGCGGGTTCGAATCCTGCCGGCGTTCATTTTTTCCTTTCTCTCAAGTTGTTTTTTAGCTGTAGCGGATGCGCTCATCCGTAAAATCGTTCATAGGTTTATGGATCTTCAAGCTTTTTTATGACATTTGACATAGGTATAAAAACCTGTCTGCTGATTCAATAAACGCACTTTTTGTGTTTGAGTATTCGAATGGACTGTATAGCGGCTGGTTCAAGAAATGAAATGCGGTTGTCGCCTGCCTTTGATCCGGTATTTTGTTCTAATTCTGGTTCCTATTCCTGACGTAGCGGTGATACAGGAGCGCTCCTGATGCTCTGGTCGGCGTGAAGATTGTGGGTGTGAAAGCGGGGGTGCACTTAATGGATAGCACATAAATTACTTGCGGATGCTGCGGAGGTTAGGTAGTAACACTGTCTTCTTTGGATTGTCCGCGGGGTAGGCAAGCGACAACTCATACTCGCCATTAAAAAAAGAGAACCCCCTAACACTCTGATTTTCTGCATTCGCCGAACCTTATATTCGTGAAGCTTCAGTACATATATATATATATATATATATATATCACTAATTTTTATTAATAATATAAACAATGCATATTGACACTCGTAGCTGTTAAATAGCTTATATATTATACTACCTTGAACCAGATACAATTTTGTTGAAAAGCTGGTTTGTTCAGACATAAAGAACGCTTTGTGTCATGTACAACACATTCAGCATGTAATTTATTTACTCGTAGTAGGTAAATTGTAGAGTGGTTAACAAAAAATTAATTATACTCCTGCAAGTTGGAATTACATTGTTTTGCTATGCCATAATTTCAGCTTGAACTTGAAATCGTATAAACTGCTCCGTAAAGTTCTTTTGACACCATTGAAGGTCACCAATAAACCATTGAGGTAACCTCGTTCGGTCCTTTGTCGGACTCGTCAGCTCAATACAAATCTAAACAGAGGTTACAAATTAAATGAGATTCCCATATATGCTGTCCCGAAAATAAAAGCATCATGCTAAAGCTGTTACATATCATGGTACATGGCACTCAATCATCTACTGATGAATAAAAAACAGTTTGTTCTGGGTGGTCGTACAATTTGTGGTATTATTCTGTATATATCGATTTGGATACATTGTATACTGTTTGATTTATGCGTGTACTCAGTTAACAAGTAGTTAAAATGTTTTTCCCGAAAATTAAACAAGTGAAAAGCGTTTACTCTCAAGTAAGACGAAACACTGATATTATAAGATTTATTTGAGGTTCACACTTGAAGTCAATACTCTCTTTCATCTCAGAAAAGTCCAGCTTTTGCGGGACGGATATTACATGTGATTAAGCTGTGAAACATTTATAATCATTTCGAAGCTTTCGCAAAATTAAATTTATTTTTTGCATATATCCTAATCAGCTATAGTAATATAGCAATTTTCGCTTATCTGTACAGAATAAAAATAAATCTGACAGCCATGAGAACAATTAGAGGTGGTGAATCACAGAAATAAAGAGCATTGTTGTAAGCAAATAAAGAATAGGTTCGAATAAAAGGCACCAGATCCGAGCACTCCCAATACTTTTTCAATTATCTATTGAAGCTTTTCTGAAAATCTTGATTAGATGCTTATTTCTGATGTCTTGGTTTTGCCTCAGCTTGGATATCACCTGTTTGTTGCCATCTTGCTAAACCGGTAGGGCGGGGAGCTCCTTGTAAATAAAATTGAAAAAAAATTAATTGTGAAACCTAGACCATCTCCTAATAAATTAATAAAGCAATTCTATGCTAACATCCAACAGCTTATGTGATACTCTCCTGAAGCCGGTTTAACTGTTGCAGACGGACGACTGAGGCATCTTATTGTTGAGGTGAATGTCTTCTTGACCATCTCCAATACTAGAACCAGATATGTCACTTCATTTTCAAATAGAAAGCAAACATCCACAGAGATCGTGCACTAACGTAAGTTGCCGATTGTCGTCACTCAGTTTAAGATTTATTACAAAACTTTTTTTTGCGTTAGCACTGCTGCGAGTGGCTTCCTCCTTTCCTCGCAGCGAACCTCTTTCACTCTTTACGTAATGCTACTCAGGTCAAGGTTATTAAATACAATCCACGCCGATGCGTCTTCTGCGATGTTGCCACTGTTCCCGCGTTTATTGGTGCATAGATAATGCGATTGAACTACGAGTATAAGCTCGACTTTATAGTACGGAATCTATTTCGTCTATTACAAAGGCTTTTGAATTTTTTACAACGACGAAGTCGGGCCCCGGATCTCGCTCTAGCCTGCGGCCTCTTAAGTCACGAGCCACGAGCCCCGAGCTTTCTACGTAGCCAGGGGCCCCTACAGAGCTTAAGACAACCCTGCTAGGAAGACCGGATAATAAGGAAATATAAATCGCCAAAAATGGTCCGCTTAGAGTGGACGACCAATCGGAAAGTTATAAAATGTCCGAACATTTGTCTACAAGATAAGCTGGTTAGATCACATAAAATCTTCTTTTCAGTACTAACCTAAGAAATCACCATTATTTGCCGAATTCCTCTGACGGTAGGTTACATTTCTCCCCTAGGCAAATAAGAATGGGTACATTTATGAACGATTCTCTGGCTTGTTGGACACAGAATTGTCACTGTTATTGTTATGTTACCCATTTTCGAATATTTCTAATAATTATTGATTTCTAAAAGTCACAACTATAATAAATTATTGCGGGTGATTGTATTCATATTATTATTTTGGCATCGTGTAAGCTTCATACTCGATAAATTGGAGTATTCCAAATGATTGGGAAACGAATGATGTGTCGTCGTCTTCTATCTTTGTCGGTCTCTATCATGTAACAGCAGCGTCCCTCGCCCACGCACCGCCTTGCGGTCCAGACATTTCCTGTGCTTTATTCGGACAGTTTTGTCAGACGCTCAGAAAATTCTCAGAAATGCTATACTTCAAAGTCGTATGAAATTAATTGTGGTGATATATTATTGTTAGTGGTAGAAGAAATTTAAACTCACATCGATGGTGAAAGGCTACTGCTGTCCTCGCGCATGCGCCTCAGTGCCAATAATAGCATCACACTCCACCAAGGTATGTAATGTACTATTGAGGAACTTCTCGTATCCCAAAAACCCAACATGACAACCTACGAAAGCTTTAACCGACTTTTCGTAAATAAATGTAGCATCACATCTGGTCTCGTATGGTTTGTCTGTTACAAGCAGGTATACACGTACTTTTGTAGATTTACTCAAAATTAATATGACACGGAAAAACAGATTGTAGGAACTAAACTGAAATAACACATAAGAATGTGAGAATACAATGAAAACAGTGCCTTTTTGGACTAATTTGCTTGTTTTTGAAATCGATCCAATAATTTGAAACGAGATATGACCAATTTTATGCGTCGCTCTTGATCGCTTTTGAGCGTGATGCGCCATGAAGCGGATGGACCAAGGAAGGCCACGCAAACAAATAAACTGTTATTATTTCTTTATTTACTAGATAATAAAGCAAATAAAAACATTAAGGCCCGTACCGTCAGACGCCCCTACAATTGTAGGGCGCGTTTATGTCCTCCTTGATTGTCATACTCGTTTCTCTCCTTCAAAAATTTCTAGATTACACTTGTCCCGTGTCAGCGTCAGCGCTCTCCTATTGTAAAGATATGTTTTCTTTTTAAATTGTAGGAAATTTCAGGCTGATAAAGCATGATATAACTCAAAAGCAAGCATAATTTGATGCAAATAGATGTTTGTGACATAACCTCAAAATAGAGCGATGACACGGAGAAGTAGAAAACTATGAGGCCATAAAGGCGCCCTACAATTGTAAGGACGACTGACGATTCGGGCCTAAGTAACACTTAGTTCTACTATGTAAAATTTTCTTTATTGCTGAGTTGTTGCAGCGATGCCAATTTCGCTCACGCTAGGCGGCGCTTGTATGGTTGGAGGTCAAACTGTCAAAAGTAGATGGAAGAAAGACAGATAGAAACGTAACTTATTTTTCATGACTTCATTACACTTTGACGTCTACTGTCGTGAACTGCTGACCAGCAATTCTTTTGTCCGTTTATAACCTTAGGTATGACCGCCACCCTAACTAGCGTCATCTAAATAGGACAATAAGCTTTCTGGATTACCCTTTTATTCAGGTATGCGGGAAGGTTTCCATATGCTCATCATCGGCAATGAATCTGACGCAAATCTCCTTAATTAACGCAGATCTGGCATCACCGCTAGCGCATTATGTCTTCACCTTTAACGTACATTATGGCATCCAATATAATATGACTTTCTCTCCTGAAGGCAGGCGGCGGGCGGCATTTTTCCGCGGCAACCTCCAAACGGAGGCCGCTTAGCCGGCAAAAAAACTGTCGGTCGCTGTTATCTTGGCGGAAACCGGATCCCAGCTCCCGTTACGTCACAGCGATTGCCGCGACTGCCGCAGTAACGCGTCCACGTCCGACGTTGATAAGGCGCATTGTGTGTGTTTTACGATGCATTGTGTCCTGGTGCGTCGGGAAAATCCCAGGGAAACCGTTTGGGTTTTCACGGCTCATCTCGCGAGCCACGGGATCATCAACTTGCTTAGGCGAGAGGAAAGCCTCGCAATTGTGGGAACATTTTCCGATTCTGTATTGGTATTAGTTTAGTTTAGTTTTGACCTTTTTTGGTGGCCTCCTATTATCAACACTGAAGTACTCCACAAGCCATCTACTGGTAACTGATTATTGAATAAACCAGCTCCGGACCTGTTAATCTGGTGAGTGATATATAGCACACATCACAACATCAATGGCTCGAAATTATGGGAGCTTCCGAGGCGGAGATTCAAACCCGTTACCTCGGGTAGACAAATTAGTAAACTCGGTTTTTATTATCAGGTTCCTTGGATGCTCCTGAAGATAAGTCAACAGATTGCCTTGCGGCAAAATTTGTGTGCCCACCTTTTTTGAGTAAATTAGAAAACTTTGATTTTGTATACTTATTGATGAACTTTTTTTAGTTCTTTTTTCTCTTAGGTTGTCAGTTATCTGAAGATAACTCGGCAGTTTTATGCAGACCAAGCAGTGCTGCAGCCATTCTGATATCGGATAAGTGTTCAGCATACAGAAAATCGTGAGATTTCTTGTGTTGCTCAAGCGCATCCCTATTTGTTGATGTTTCTCGATTTTCTGAAAATTGTTTATTGATTTTCTGAAAGGCCGAAGGCGATATATCTATTATGACTACGAAGTCATTCAGCACGCAAGAGTGCATCAAGAAAATGTGGGCTGGACATATAATAAAGAAATATTTTTCCAATCAGACCGTGAATCGGCAAGTCAATTCGATAACTTCAGAAAGCTCATAATAGAAGTTTCTCAGACCTAGGTTTTATTACATTTTTTCGTCAATACATTGAGGACCATCATCCAGCAAAGTTCCGTTAAATTTGACCGGGACCGGTTTACCATAAGGGTTGTTGCGGGGACCTTCAATCAATTTTTGAACAAAGATAATATCAAAGAACGTAATACCTCCATATGTATTGGCATTTTGATTGATCTAACGACTAACCACAACTTGTCTATACATCAATATTTCTTTTATACCGAAGCAGTAGGCAGAAACCTCAATACCGGGGCACCTCAGTAATGAGATTGTTAGTCCGATTTTGGAGCTGCCTAAGGCTAGTAGAACTGGAAGAAGACTGTTCCAAAATGTCTACATCGTAGGAATGATCGTATCGGCCAGTTCTGGATGCACGAAGTTCGGTTGGGAGGCCGAAGTCAAGCGGGTCTGTTTGACAGCAGATCTGAAGAGTAAAGTCCGTTGACATAGCCGTAGAAGAGAGCCATATCGTCGGCGGCACGTCGGTGCGAAAGTGTTCCAAGACTGTCCGTTGGGGAAGAGTTATCTGAGTCGGACAGACCTCCTTTGAACAGCATCGACCATGTATGCTGTTGTAGGGGCGGTAGCACCTCACACATGTGAGCAGCACACTAAACTGGATCTTATTTAGACCTTGCACAGAATATCAGAAATACTTGGCGATATTTTTAGCAAACATAAATTTAATATCTTCCAGAAGCTTTAGGATATTGTTTAGTTGCCTTCTGTTGCGATGTTACAAAGAAATGCGTAATCAAAGTGACTCATCATCTTCAACAGTGAACAGCCATGTAATGAAGGTCACAATGCAGACATATATGTCAGTTCTATCATAAAATTTCCGCATTATGATCCCACACTGTATGATCATATAAGTAGCCTTCATAGCGCGTTTGCTAAACTGTTTTTTTAAACTTCAATGTCGGCAACATGTAGTGTTCACCTTTTACTAACTCGAGAAAGACATGTAAGATACCTATAAAACATAAAAATGTAATATTTTTATATATAATTATAAAACATTCTGTTTATTGGTTTTATAGAAATTATTAATCCAGAAGCTCCGCTTTTGTATAGATTTTCACTTGTAAAACGCCCAAGTTTTTATTCTCGGTTTCCATAAACTTGTTCTTTGGATGAGCACTACCACGATGCTGCATTTGTTAAGATTTCATGGCATCTTGTTTCATAAAAATTCAGGTAGCCGTTTTCAGTAGAAGTTAATAATTAGGATAAAAAGTGCAACACTAGAGCTTTATTATAACCCACTGCCTGCAAAAAATCCTTTTATAACGCTTCCTCAAAAAGGCTTAAATAGCAAAAATTCAACAAAAGACGCTTTGTCCGCGCAAATCTTAAAATGTATTTCCATTCTTATTGTCGAGTTTTTACCTTTTTGGACCCACCGCGGCGATAAATGCTATCTTCGTTCGCAAACAACTTACGCGCCAATTTAATTTAGAGCACTCTTGATATTCCCCATTTTCTTTCATTTTCGCGCCAACGTATACCGATAAGATCTCAGAAGTGGGGTCAGACATTTGAATATTGCCAAGGGGGTTCTGAGGTTGGCAAATTTATTTAAGTCACCGAAACAACAGCAATATAGCCCTGCTGCTACAGGAGGACTTTGAGGAAATTCAAAACAGTATGAAATTATATTAAAAATGCCGAAGGACTGACTGATTTAATTAAACTGGTTATAATTATGAGATTCAGATGTAAAATGTTGAAACGGTGGAATACTATTGAAATATTTGGTAAGTCATGGAAAGTGTGAGTGTGTGTGTAAATTCTGTATATCAACTGCGTGTTTTAATTATGGTATCTGTCAACAAAGAAAAACATAGACACCGAAGCGATGCGAAATATTCACAAAGCATTTTTCCAGCAATAAGGCTGATAATAAATAAGGTTATTCTTCCCAATTTCGCAAAGTATGCTAGACACGCAACTGGCGTATATAAACCGTTTGAAATATTCTTAAAAGGAGGTTAATGTTCGTGATAATGAAAATGGCAATGAAAAACTTGGCTGCGGAAAACAGGCTTCGTGCCTACGGAATTTATTATAGGTATTCGTGAAAAGTAATAAACACATTTTTCGGCTTTTCATTAGGCATGCTTTATTAATTCTGTGATAGTTCAGGAATTCTTTCCATCTTTGAGGAAACGTGAAGGTGAATTGTCACTTACACAATTTGAAGTTGGAAGAAATGAGGCCAAACACATTTCCTGATCATTATAAAATGTTTCTTTACAATGCTTGGGACTTTGGAGATGTAATATCTTTTCACCGTTTCCCTCACGGCATAATCAAAAACGTTTAAAATACATTAAAATCAGATTCGAAAGTTTTTGTATCGATTTGGTCATGAATCAAATAAAATATTTGACTACCTATGTTACTGGCATAGTATAAAAACTATCAATTATTTTACCATAATATGATAGTAACACAAATCTCAAGATATTTAAATTGTAAAAGGTATCTATAAAACTTTTTTGTTTTTGATCAAGTATATTATATTTATGTTAAATTGGCCTGAGAACCAATTTATGTTGTATTTAATAATTACGAAACAAAACTGAATCTTGACCGAACCTAAACAAAAGCCGATAGTTTTGATGGTGATTTTGACGATGCGCATGCGTAATAGCTTTAACGACGTGGATTAGATATCCTAAAAGGAGTTTGAGTGAAACATATTCAAATCTGTCTAGGATTGCGAGGCTTGAACGATGCTTTAAAAGCACAACTGTTTACTAAGAAAAACGTGAAATCAACCGAACAAAAAGACTTACTGTGACACCAACTTCACATGATTACGAAATGACTCACCACATTCCCATTATCAGTTATCTGGTGCATTATCGGCCTTGACATTACACATATTGTTCAAAACGAAGGTATATTGACACGGGACGCTTTCATTGTGGTTTTATTTGTATGCAACCAGGTAAAGGCGAGCCAAGACACAGTATACAGAATAAGATTAGTTATACCACTTCGGGGCAATTTTGTTGGAGTCTACGTTCAACCTCCATCTGCAGAGTCGTCACGTAGCCACTTTGAGGTCGGAAAAAATCTGGATCTCGAAAGTACGCTTTTGCAATGAAACTAAACGTAGAGCTGCAAAAGCTAGTCTGTTAGGGGATGACTTTTGAACAGGTTTTACGATCAAAGTGTTTCCATAAAGTTATTATTGCTTTCGCGGGCTTCATCACTCTACCAGAACCAGCAACAATCGCAAGCTTTTTATTGTAAATTAGAATAGAATATAAGGTAAAACCTAATAATGAGGTCGATGTTCAAAAAATGAAAAACAAATTGTTATAGTGACGAAAATGCATGCAAAACAGATGCTGTTTTATACAGCGTAGATATGATAATATAATACAATTATTAATTTAACTAATTAATACGAATTTTCCCTCCACAGGCAGAGCGTGAAAGGTTTTTCCGCAAGTGATTTTACCTTTCGTTACCTGTATACCTTGGCCATACCGCCAGACTGGGAGGGACATTCCAAAGGAAGCAATCATAAATTAATTTCGTCAAAAAAACCGGCCCAGGTATCCAAGGTAGAATCGTATAAACAAAAAAGTTAAGGAAGGCCAGGTCTCCTTCTACCTTCTCTAGGTATACGGCAAGGGCGCCGGGTTGAGAACGGGCAAGATTGAATATTTTCAGCAGTTAGATGGTGACGAAGGTAATTCAGTCATAAACTCAGCTTTGAATATTTTGTTAGTTGCAAGTAGGGGGTTTAGGATTTAGTACCTCAAGGGTTGGGGCATAACCATGAAGTTTAAATATGATATCCCATAAATTAAGGTCAAAACGGAAATAGGTAACAGGCCAGGTGGTAGCAAGTAAAAAAAATCAGAATACCAAAAAACGAGGAATAGAATGCCTGGATTTATGGCAACTGCCCTTTTGCTGTCATACATGAACTCTAGACATCCACACCGAAAATTACCGATTTCCAGTAGTTTTGTACTTATATAAGAAATTATTGTTTCGGGGAAGAAATGATGGCATCAATTTCAGATTCAAAAAACGAAATGAAATTCCATTATACAATACGATGCTATTCCGTCGCTCATTTATATATAATTCAATTAAAATGTAGCTTTCTATAGTTTACTTTAAAAGGAGTGTGAAAAAGAGGTTACTTGGTTAGCAATGTTGCCTCGGATAATGGTGGGAATTTTTGGTTTTTCCTTGATCTTCCTTTTTTTATTTAGTATGGGATTCTTTTTGTTGTCAACTCAAAAAATCATGTTTTGAGATAAGTAGGTTTAAAGTTTTCATTGCTAAGGAAAATGCAAAAGAAATGTTTTAGTTTGCTCAAACGAAAATTATTTTCAAATTGATACCTTGTCTAAAGGGTCATTTGATAACGTGTGTATAATTTTGTTTCTATTTTTTTAAATTGATCTTAATGCCAATTTTGAAAAAATGTTTTGAGTTATGACGCTATCGCAGCTTTATTCATTAAATATACTAACTAGGCATTATACAGATTGTAGTAACAACAAAAATTGCAAAATCCAAATTAAACTTTATTAAAAACTAGGATTATAAAACAGGAAACTTAAAAAAACGCTTTTGAACATATAGACATGCTCGTTATCTACGTAAGAGCATATGATTAAATAATGCGAATGTTAACGTTGTAACAACGTTTTAAATAAAATAAATTTTCCTTAATTAACACCGAACTTGGAGACGATTGTAGAAACTTGAGTGGCGCCTATGGTATTGCATGGCTGCCGATTTAACTTTGTAATCCGTCAAATTCCTTTTTAGATATTGGAATTGGTTTACTATAAGCTTTTTTCAGTGTTACTGTCTCAAAGGACGGCAAACATTTTAAAATCGGTTTGCTTGTAAGATGTTTTGTAGAAAAAGCTATCTAATGATATGCAATACAGGCACAAGTCGGAAAGTGTCGCTAGAAATAGCCAACTATTTTTGCAACACCGACCCCACTCAAAATGTGTAACTGTTGATGACAAAAACCCTGTCAAGCGTTGGACGGAAACTGAGTAGTGTCAGTAATGCAGCCAATATTTGTGACTAATCACATAATACAATAGCGACACTTTTGTTATCTTACAGCCTAATATTGAATTATCAGTTGTGTCAGTGTTACTGGAAAGAATGGGTATTTTCATATTTACATTGACTGTACAAAAAGCGTGTTTTTGGAGTTGTGCCACTATTGCAGCCCATGAGCGATATCCTCTGTTTCTTCTTCCATAATTTACAAACGCCGCCCATGTATTTATTCAACGTGCACTTAACAGCCAACAAAAAATACACCGACATTCCTTACATAAAGACCTTTCTCAGAAATAAATCTTAAGCGTTCTGGTTCTTTGGGAGTATACTTGTATAGCTGCTTGTAAACCACTAGAGATAAGGAGTATTTATATATAAATAAGACAGCTGGACTTTTGTATGCCACGATTTTCTTTGCGATAAAGTCGTCTCTATAATGAAGGTGTGAGAAATCTGAATCAATTTTTGGATGAGTTTTTTTGTGCTTTTAAAGCACATTATACTAAAAAGTATTCAGACCTCATTTATTCCGAGTCAAAACAAATATGGGCACTACTGCCATGTCGCTGCCTGCCCAGCAATTTATGGCCCGTAGTTTCTGTTTTGACGGGTAGTAAGTGAAATTTGAACACACTTTAGCGTCGTGTGATGAACGTAGCATGATTTTTCTATTGACGTTAACCTCTGCAAAGTCAGCATAATGCGATACAAACGCGTTTGGACGACAGCATCAAATATAAAGATCTGGTAGATAAAAAAATCAGGGTTCTCAGGAAAGTTACCAAAAAAACTCTGCTATAATTCATATAGTGGTCGGGGCAGTTTTCAACCTTCTCAAAAGTTTTTCGTAAAAGTCAAATATTAGAACGTTTAACAAAATATATGTGATCCAAATTTCATTCAAATCGGACTATCGGTACTTGAAAAATGTGTTTTAAAAAGAAAACTGACTCCATCTAACGGACAAACAAAGCATTTTTGCATAGAGGTAAATCATGTCGAATCGAATTATTTCGAGTTTAAAAATACGTGGTAGTTCCACGGAATATTGGGACACCCTGTATATTTAAAAAAATCAGAAATTCTGAAAATGCCTGTGATAGTTTACATACAAAATGTTTTGATGCACAACTGGAAAAGTAAATCAAGACAAAACGGATATTTCAAAAGTGCAAAATATAATACCCGATACTCGGTATTGGAATCTAACCGAGTACCACGTACTTGGCCTTTTGAAGAGAATAGTATTCGGTGCATTCCTGAAGGTACCAAATTAATATAGGTATTCTGCAGCCACTTTATTCAAAGTAGATTGCTAAGTTCATTTTTGTGTAGTTACTGTCTGCGCCAGTATCTTTCAGATTCTTTTTGGAAGACGGAATGGATGGCTATCTTCTGCTACCTTTCGTCCTGGATACGATCTTAGTATGATACGGTATACTGGGTAAATATCTTAATAGAGGAAAGGAGTTATAACCCTCTAAAAACACAAAGATACCTTAAATATAACAGAAAAGGTAATCCATGTTATAAATCCTTTTATATACGGCAGAAACGTGAAAGAAGGTTTTCCCAGGGGTTTACAAGGCGTTGGTAAATATTGGAATAGCGTCCATTGTTCTTTAGTTTCTTGTCTGATATAATGGGTGGATTTTTCTTACGATCTCCAAGGAAAAGTGGCGGATGTAAGCAAAGCAAAATTCAGAAAATTACGTTCACGTAACTTGAAATATCTCCGGTAGCGCCCGACAAACTTTCTAGTATATGGAGAGAGTATAAAGAAGGAAATGCGCAATATATTGAAAAAGTTTGCATGAATGAAGCGATTCCTTGGAAAATGTTTACGAATTTTAGATACCCTCTTTTATGGAAATACGGATTTTAATATTGTTGTGATATGCTATGCATTATTTTAGGTTATGTTGCTACAGAACGTTCTATAAGTTGAGACTTTCATTACCACAGCGTAAAATTCTTGGCGTTAAAGAAAGAAAGAATCTAAGATACTAGCGCCATTTGTCAGATAGTAGTAGAATAAAAAAAAAATAGAAATCTATTTCAAAGTAGTATCTGGACTGAAGATACCCAATGAAAATAGGAATTATAGAGCCGAAAGAAAGGGATTGAAAATCCGAGCTCCATCTATGAGACAGTATGAGAAACCAACACTAACTCCTTTAAAAGAGAATTTCTAAATTCATCTTTGTGCTGCCGCTGTATCTCAGATGGCAGTAATATCTTTCAGATCCCATTTTGAATACCGGAGTCCAGTATATGAGTCCAGCTATGGCAATAAAAAAAACGCACTAATTTTCCTAGAAACACACTCTCATGATAACAGAGTTACTAGGTTTTGGAAAACCGGCGATAACAAATTTGGCTCTGAAAGCTTGTACCTCCCTGTGCGTCGGATATCTTGTAGGTTAACCAAGCTGTTTGTTTACTAATCGGATTTAAAAAACGGTATATTCCTATTATATCGGAATAACGAACGTACAGCAAGAGACAAATTATTTCCTTACACTTTTTGTTGCACAAAAAAGTACAGCGGCAGCTGAAACCTCCGAATTTTTTTTCAACCTATGCTTGCAGTTGCAGAAGTTTGAGCGCATCCAATTCTGAGCTAGTTCTTTGTATTTGGACCTTCTGGAAAATTCAGAGCGAATGAAAATAGCATTTTCCGTCTTCCATTGAGCGGTTGAGCGAGGCTTAAAACGTCTTCCCGTTCTTAGAGGATTTCCCAGCATTTAATGACCGACTTTCCGAGTGTTTTTTTAACAAAAGATTCACATAAAAACGTGCCGCGTCCAAAAAGAATGCCATTATTCAGATGCCTTTTCAAGCTGATGATAATAAGCAGTAGGGAAGACTCGCAAAGCGAAATCGAATTTTGTAAACCTGATATTTGCAGCGGTAAAAATCTTACACTCAGTTTTGGATAAACGGTTTATTTATGAGGCATAATATTTCCAAATTCCATTGTCCTTTTAGTTCACCGATCGCATTTTCTTTTGGTAAAACTAGTATTGGGACTGATGCATCTTCTTTTGACAAAACCAGTGGATATAATCGTCTTCTTGTGGTCCCTGCTTCGTACTAGTTCTGCTCTCAGTGCAAAAATATGCTACGACCAGGTAAAGACGATGCTAGTATTTTCAAACTGTCAATAGTGTGACATTTTATAGATTTTACTTGTGGCTTTGCATACAAGCATGCTTTTACAATTTTTTACATTTTTCCGAATTGGCCATAACAGCAAGGAAAAGGACAAAGAAATGAAATGAGATTTTTTATCGAGAGACGAGATTTTTGGGGGCAACTTTACTATGAATTAAGGCAGAGTGTTGTAAACATGAAAACTGCGACACTTTTATCAAAACAAAACGCTATAAATTTATATCAAAGCACAGGAACTTTTTTACCCTCCCATCTAAAAAATCAAGTCCTTTGTCTGATTTATAATGGAAAAAGTTTGGTTTTCATCTACATACCGCCTGTCCCTTAAATCTGCAGATCC